TATTTGAATGACAACGGCTCGCCGCCAAATTATGCAATTCAAAACATGTGGTTTACAGCGTCAATATACTAAGAATTCCGCCTTGACAGAGAAATAGAAGTGGTGGTTATAACTAGTTCGCCTGTAACTTAAGGAATAAGGTGAGTTATTATAATATAATGCGAGAATTATAATGTAATGATTGTTGTCTGCGATTACAATATGATATGACTGCTTTAATATTGATCGGCTGAGGCTATTCTCTGCATTATCAATTTGCAGTCTCAGACTCTCAGTTAAGAAAACTTGCGCGCGTTTTTATTTACAAGTACCTTTGTCTGATTTATCTTGCGTTTACTGTTTTCCTTTCAATTATATAAAGACAAATATTTTAGAACCTGAGCTGAAAAATCGAAAATAACTGTTCAATGCCCAACACCTCAACTATATCATATACATATACACATATAGGAATGGATGATTTTGTGCATTCACTACGCACAACAATACAGACAACAATATTTTATTCATTAAATTTCAATGGCAAATGGTAGTGTTTTTATATTGATTACTGAACGGTGGAATTTCTTTTATTTATGATACTTTGTGTGTAAGAAGATATACAGTATACACTACACAGCTGGGGCCGGTTGTATCAAAGGCGTTTAACTCGCTAACCACCGTTTAACTCGCTATCCGCCGGATAAAATTTAAACGCTGGAGAAATCGCGTTGTATCAAGCCCGTTTAGGGCTATCCACCGGTTAAATTTTTCCTATCCACCGTGTAAACTTATACGGTCTCTTGAGACCGTTTAAATCGCTATACGGCGGATAAACTCGGAGTTTGAAGATAAAACAATGATTATTTCGGATGAAAAAGCAAGGGATAGTTATAAAAATGCACAATCATGTGGAGGAGTTATCTTTTTAAATCCAATAAACATGAAAAACTTACTTTTAACTGGCTTGGTCTTGAGGTACACTGAGGTCACTTGCTCACTTGTAATTCCGTGGCTTTGCTATATTTACGCACACCAGTGTCATGTTTAGATGTTAAGTATATACTCTGGCTTTTTCTCCTTCTTTTCTTCTATTATATAGTTTGAAAACAAGCAGTAAGACTCGCAATTTTAGCTATTGTAAAACAAACAATGACTTTGGAAAGCCAACAAGTATACAAAATAGACAACAAGACGCCGAAAGTCGAAAAAAATTGTTCGCTCGCGTTAATCGCTTCGATCAGCCAATCAAAACGTGGTTCAAAATGTTCTTAAAATTGTTTTGAACAAAAGTGCAAGGTCGAGGAACAAATTTCAAACAGTATAAAACTGAATCAACTGACAAAAGCCAAATACAACTCACAGTTTTTGCTATTGCCTTCGACTCTTCGCATAAAGAAGCCAAAAATCTTTAAAGAAATATCCGTAAGTGAATTTAAGTGAATGAGAAACTCAGCACAATGTGAAAATGAAAAGTTTGATATAGATTTGCAGCAACGAATGGAGGAGCAAACTCCAAATAAAAACAACAACAAATTTTATTGCAAAAGCTTAGTGGAATTCACAAGTTAGATAAAGCTTCAAAAGTTTACAAAGGCCTAGCAACAGCTGACGTAGAGGTAGGAAATTTCAAGAAAATCCGGTTTTCTCCGGTTAAATTAAAGGTTATCCTACGGATAATTAAACGCGGTACTAAACGGGCTTCGTACAACGCAATTTTATCGGCCGTTTAACTATCCGCTGGATAAGAAATTTATACGCTGGATAGCGGCTAAACACCGTTTAAGTTAAACGCCTTTGATACAACCGGCCCCTGGAGACAAATTCTTGATATCTGATATTTGTACGTTTATCGACCAAATATTGAAAATCTAACCCAAACACCATTTATAACTAGGTATTCCCTTAATTTGAGCAAAATATGAACGAAATCTATTTTTCGTGTATTGCCGCAGAATTCAAATTTGGCTCGATTTTTACGGACAGTCGCTCTTAACTTTAGATTTGGCTCGTCGAGTTTCAAGAGGCTCCCACCCTAGAGCGTTTATTGCTTCTATACCAGGTGTATTGTACCTCAAAATCATTATTATTCTTGCAGCTCTGTTCTGCAGTTTTTGAAGTCTGCTGGAGAGCCCCACGCTAAGTGTATCCCATACCTCGCTACAATAGTCAAAATGAGGACGTATTAAAGCATTATAAATAGAAGACAGAGTTTCTCTGTCAACAAAATCACGAATTCTTCGCATAGCTCCAATTCCAGACGTAACCTTTTTAACTACATTTTCAATGTGCTTGTTCCCATTTTATTCAATAATTAGTACATGATTTTTGCTTTACTTTTCTTCCTTTCTGTTTTAATAAGTAGCCTGCTGCGCAGACGTTGTTAGTGGCCGAGGCCCCACCTAACGTCTGCTCACATTCGCTACACATTTGACTTCCCGGCAATTAACCAATCACAGTCATGTACACGATAATTGGAACATCGACCTTCACTGACCTTCAAATGCATGTGCTATTTATATCAACCACTGATCTGAAATAAGACTGGATAATGCATCTATAGTATACAAAAGTGAAGCCGGAAGTCACCGGCCGCCACCCGATTCTGGGGCCCCACTTTTGTATGGATTTGTATTACAGACAATAGTTTTTCGCGTTTTTTGCCTTGGCTACGTTTCCGATCGTGCCAATTTTACAATCACAAAGATAGAAGCATACAAGAAGAATTTTGAGCAAAAAATTTGGAGTATTATGGCTTTATAACGCCGCGAAACGGGATTTACAACTCTGAAGGAGTGGAGAGCCTCACACTTAGTTTGTCAACACGAACTCGTTTTGCTACTTTCATACGAAATCAACTCAAAATATACAAGAATTACTGTTACTGGACGAATATTCTCAGGAAATTTGAAGAAATGAAGCAGCTACATTGAAACGAAAGCGCACAGAGATTAGTTTTAAAATACCTTGAGGCTTATTTCATAATTATATGAATTAAAATAACATTATACCGAGTCTGTCATTGTTTATAAGGCCTGTTCTAATTTCTAAACGTCGCATTTTACATTACTCATTAGATAATCATCTGAAATGCCTCATTATCCATTGTTTTGAATGCATTCGGCCCATGCAAAGTGCGACGTTTAGAACAGGCTTAATTTGGATTAAAAATATTTGATTGTCACTTGTCTTCCTACTTTAAAAGATATCAAACTACTCGACGAGGCGCCGAGGAATGCTCTTGACAAAACTGATATTTAAAACTGTTCCTTATAAATTCATATAAATATTATAAAAGTAGCCTCAAGGTATTTTAAAACTATCTAAACCTCAGTACTCTTTTGTTCACAATCTAGCTGCTTCATTTCTTCAAATTTCCTGAGAATATTCGTCCAGTAACAGTAATTCCTGTATATTTTGAGTTGATTTTGTATGAAAGTAGCAAAACGAGCTCGTGTTGATAAACAAAGTCTGAGGCTCTCCACTACTCCTTCAGAGTTGTAAATCCCGTTTGGCGGCGTTATAAAGCCATAATACTCCAAATCTTTTGCTCAAAATTCTTCTTGTATGCTTCTATCTTTGTGATTGTAAAATTGGCCCGGTCGGACAAGTAGCCTAGGCAAAAAACGCGAAAAACTACCGTCTGTAATACAAATCTATACAAAAGTGGGCCCCCAGAATCGGGTGGCGGCCGGTGACTTCCGGCTTCACTTTTGTATACTATAGATGCGTTATCCAGTCTTATTTCAGATCACTGATATCAACAAGTCTGTAGTATTTTTAAATATGAAAGTTTTAATACTACGCATCAGGCTTTTCATTCTATTAAAAACGAGAAGAAGGATGTTTTCGTAAGTCTCACAACTGGCGCAGGAAATCATTTATTTATCACGCCGTTACCGAAGCTATTCGATGTAATATTCGGATCTAAATATTTAAACAAATTGTAAACGTGTAGACATTTAGTATTAATCGTGGTTTCGCCATTGGTAAATTCAATGCGAGATCAAGTAAAAAAACTACACGATCTAGGAGTCAGTGCTATGTCATTATTAAGTGGAATCGAGCCTGATGAAGAAGCGAAGGCATTGGATCGAAGAAGGGAACTATTCTGTATTATATGGCACAGCATACAGAGTCATTGTTGAAGACATAGAAAGTGAATACTGTATAGCAGAATGGTTTGTGATTTGGCTATTGATGCATGAAGCTCATGTCAGTATGTATTATAATAAATCCTAAACATGTGTTCGCATTTGTAATTCTCAAAGCCACAGGAATCGATCGGCTTTGGCGAAACCACGATTAATACTAAATGTCTACACGTTTACAATTTGTTTAAATGTTTAAATCCGAATATTACATCGAATAGCTTCGGTAACGGCGTGATAAATAAGTGATTTCCTGCGCCAGTTGTGAGATTTACGAAAACATCCTTCTTTTCGTTTATAATAGAATGAAAAGCCTGATGCGTAGTATAAAAACTTTCATATTTAAAAATACTACAGACTTGTTGATATCAATAGCCCATGCATGTGAAGGTCAGTGAAGGTCGATGCTCCAATTATCGTGTACATGATTGTGATTGGTTAATTGCCGGGAAGTCAAATGTGTAGCGAATGTGAGCAGACGTTAGGTGCACGTGGGGCCTCGGCCACTAACAACGTCTGCGCAGGAGGCTATGTTTTAAGTGGCATCCAACCCAATGCTTGCAATGCAACAGAATGATCTATTGGTTTATGATCAACAGAATTATCTATTGATCTATGATCAACAGAATGATCTATTGATCTATGATCAACAGAATGATCTATGATCTGTTTTGTAGTTTTTGGAGTCTTTTTGATTGCGTTTCTCCAAACACATAATAATATTTTATTTTCCAAATATGTTTACAATACATTTCGTAAGTTATATATGTTTATGTACTAGTTTACATTATACATATTTGAACAGAGGACCATAATAAACCAAAAGGCTTTTGCGAGTATAGTCCCCCGTGACAAAATATTTAATACTAAAATTAATAAGTTCTCTATCAGGTAATTTTTCGTCAGTTTATCAAGATCTAGAGTACATACTAGCTATTACTATATAGAATTATTAATAATTACATAAATATATATTGTACTCTATACTGGAAAGAATAATTTCCGTAATCTACTCTATAATATTATGTTATCATATAATATGTTACCGTTATATATATATATTATATGTATACATATAAATATATATTGTGTTTTATAGCTTGTCTTGAGATAATAATAGATGTATTTTCATTTCCTTTTTGAAATTCGTTTTGGTACTTGAATCTCTTATTTTTTTTGGAATTTTGTTCCAAATTTCTGTTCACATCCCATACTTCACAGCAGTAATCAATATAGCATTATAAAAAATAGCATTATATACAGAAAGAAATGTTTGCTTATCAGCAAATTCTTTTGAACGCCTACGAGCCGATATTCCGGAATTTATTTTCTTGCAAATATCCTCTGTCAGTGTTAGTTCTCCAAGATAAATGCTGGTCAATTGTCACTCCAAGAGTTTTGGATTTATAATAATTGACTCGTTTTCAATTTTCACATTTAGTTGCAAATTTGAAATACTTTTAACCATTTGTTTTGAACCAATTAACATAAACTCAGTCTTAGCAACATTTAGACTAAGTGTATTAGACTAAATTTTTCCAAATCAGATTGTTTCACTGCAGTTTCAAGATCAGTTATAGAGTTTCCAGAAACTGTCAAGTTAGTATCGTCAGCAAACAACCGAGGTTTTGTTTTCTCCAGGCATTGAAGCAAATCGTTAATATATAACAGAAAAAATGGTGGCCCTAAAATAGAGCTTTGCATGTGGTACACCACATTTGATCAATTTCTCTGATAAAAATGACCCTTGGACTTGGCATTTTTGGTTTCTATATTTGAGAGATACGGTTCTAGAAAAGATGGAGCTTGCCCTTTTATTCCATAGAGCTCTAAGTTTGTCAATAATATTCGATGATAAACAGTATCAAATGCATTTTTCAAGTCAATTAAAACTACTAAGTTAAACATTATATCCGATAAAAAGTTCAATGGTAAATAGTAACAAGATAAAATTATAATTTTATAGGAATAGTTCATTTTCGCTCACGTCTTCTGCTGATGCGATCACATTCGACTTCAAGGGTTCATTCACAATTTCTTCGTTATATGCAGATGTCTATAGAGTTATAAAAATGTATTATGACGGTTATCACAGGCGTACGATAGCGGGGATGGGGGATGGGCTTCCACAAACGAGGAAAGGAAAGTATTTGCGAATAATCGAGGGGTATTCGTGGGGGCATGGCTATTAGACGGCCAGCCAGCCGATCAAAATATGACTGTCGATGGCATTTTTTCTTACAAGCAAACAACAAGCGTTTTCTTATAGCTTAGACACTGGTGAGTCACGTTTGATATGTTGCCACCTCTGATTTTAACGAACGAAGAGAAAATTTTAAGGATTTGAACAGTTTGCCTATTAAATTATTATACTCCCGAAAAAATGTGAAATTTGAATTTCACTTAAATTAGCATCGTTTATATCGTTAGAAAGAGCATAACAAAGTACATATAAGACATTTAAACGAGTAATACGATTTATTTAGTCAAATTCGAGTTATGGACACTTAAAAAGAGGTAAATGCTGTGAATGACGTCACAAAACCTGTTTTTTAGCAACTTTAAGCGCCCGTAACTGAAAACAGGGTTATAATTGACACTTCTCACTTAAATATTCTATATCTACTTTTTTCCGAACTTTCTGATTATATAGGTGATTTTTGCTGAAAGTTGGTTTCAAATTTCATAATTTAGTGAGTATAGTAATTTTAATAGACAAAATTTTCAGATTCTCAAAATGTTTCACTTTAAACTCAATATCAGAGGTGGCAACCTATCAAACGTTGTTCTCCAGTGCCTAAGCTATACGAAAACGCCAGTTGCCAGCTTGTAACAAAAAATGCCATCAATGACATTTTAGAGACACTTTTATTGAGGTTGGCTGGCCGTCTATATGCACAGGTAGTCATCTCACTGATCTAAAAAATAAAGCTTGGAAAGCGTTTTCAAAAAATAGTTTATAAAGAAGTTTTGTAAGCTCAAAAAAGTTTTAAAAGTTTAAAAAGTTAGATTTTTAAAAAAAATTAAAAAGTTAAAAAAGTTAGGGGTTAGGGTTGGGGTTTGGGTTAGTGAAAGGTGCCGCGAATTTATTATTATGATAAATTCAAAAGGTGCCGCGAATTTATCATAATGATAAATTCGGACGTGTTTAAGAATTTACTGATATAGTAAATTCAAAGGTGCAGCTCATGCTGTCATTTTTATGCCCGGGGTTGGTTACCGCAAAGAAATAGGTTGGGTAAGCAATTTTTCGGCGCTACAAATGGTTGGGTAATTACTTTTCTGAATAAAGCTTACGGTTGGGCAAATTATTTTCAAGACTAGAAAATACATGCATGCAGATACCCCTCGCCTTGCTGAAAAAACATTGTATTTTCAAAACATGAAGTATTTAAAGTAGTTGACACGGTGACACGATAATTCTGTTAAGAATATTTTTAAAAACGAAAAATCCCCTAAAATATCACATTTAATTACAAAATTATCAATTCCCCAAACATATGCGTCAACCTCAAACGATTCGCATAACGTTTTAAAATGTTTTTTATAAAACTAAACTTCCTTTATCGATAAACTTTGAGTTTGAAATAAAATATTTTAAATTGTTGCATTCAAATAACTTTCTTTTTTATTCAAAATTTTAATATAATAAAAAGGGTAATCAATAAACAAACACTGAAATTCTACGCTGTCTTTTCTCATTTCACTTAAAATACACGCAACGATCAGCTTTAAAGCAATTATAAGGCGAACAATACATCAATATTTAAAACAAACTTGCCTTTGTTAACGTCGGCGCCTTTACACCCTTAATTAAAAATTCTTTTGCCTTTATTTTCTTAAAAGGCTTTTGAAATTTACAAATTCTTGCAAAAATGAAATATATTTGCAAGGAATCATAAAAACAAAAAATATTTGCCATTCGCTGTCGTCATGCAGTCGTTATAATGCAAATTTTAAATGTGACCAATCAGTGTTCGCTATTCATTACAATCTGCTATATTTTTTAGATCAGTGAGGATGACCACCTACCGAAACACGCTCGGTCGCCCACGCTCGCGATCATGGATGAACTTTAGACCTCGCTAATACTTTCGCTTCCCCGGGTGTAAATAACCAGGCAGAATTAGCACATCCATAGTATATCCTTGGGAACAACATAGCGCGTTATTTAAATTCACCAGATGAGTGTGGCAAGCCTCGTCTTGTCATAGGAAACGAATTTGTAGTGAAATAAAGTTCCTATGAAGTAACTCAAGTTTGTCTTCTAATCTTGCTAGCTCTACTACGGTATTGAGCACTCTACTCGCAAATGATTCCAAACTCGATACTTGTCTATATAAATTTTATATACATATTATACAAGCATATTCATATATTCGTGTTCTGCTCGACGGATTTCTTTTGAAAGCGATTGTTTTTACGGTATGTGAACACGAATGTATGAATATACTCCCCCCCCCCTGATCGCGTCTACCTACGGCCATGGACTGTCGTTAAAGTGTAAAACATTAATTTATTTTTGTTTTTTAAACAAAAAATTAAAAGAACAATGGTCGTGGCTAACACGACGTGAGCATGCAACGCGCGCCTGCGTTCAGTGTTGGTATAAATAAGAATACTTTATGTTGAAACAATGTTTGGAAAATGTGGGCAAGGGGTTGTTGCATGCATCTATTCAGTCTAGAATTTGCAATATTAAATGCTTCAGTTTGAACTGTTTTTCAGTTTGACTAGTTTGAATGACTTACATCTACAATATATTAATTTAATTTTAATTTAACAAATTTTATTTGGATCGATATTCACAATTTTTAACAAACAAAAGAATATAACAGAGCAAATATTACACTAAGTTAAAATAACCTAGATATCAAATGTAGATCCAAAAAGGTAAGGTACTAACGGGACTCTTATAAAAGGTCCCATGATGCAGGGCACCCACCTCCAAAATAGTAATCATGATATGAGAAGTTTTAACGTTTCATACATACGTGTGGGATTTCTTTACAATCAAGTATTTCGTAGAGTATGTTCTTTAAACTTTGAAATTTTGGGCGATCTTCAGGATTTTCTTTCCAGCACATTGACATAATATCGTTGCTGCAAGGACAATTTTATTTCATTATTCGAGTAGCAAGTTCGATTTTAACCCTATCCAGACCGGGCTTTTTGGGGGTATTCTAGGACTGGGTGTAGGCGGTGTGTGGCAGTAAGTGCCCGCGATCAATGTATCTTAAACATTTGGTATATTCCAACAAAACGTTTACTGGCGGATAGTATGCCTTGGTCAAGTATGCTATGACAGCTATGTTGTCATGGCAACAAATTATGACGTCATTAATTGCAAATCCTGGATATTAAGATGTTTAAAATTATTTTCCTTCTTTTAATTTTTACCTGCTTTGTTAACAAAAAAAGTTGTATATATATATATATATATATATATATATATATATATATATATATATATATATATATATATATATATATATATATATATATATACAGGGTGTATCAAAAAAAAGGTAATCGAACTTCAGTGCGCTATTGTATCTGAATTACTCTAAGTATGAACGAGATTTTTTCACATTCGGAAAGATCATGCTATTAGCTGTTAAATGACATCTTCTTCATGCCAAATGGATAAAAAATGAGCAAATACGAATCCGATAAAAAATCTTAGTCAGAATCGCATATTTTCACCGTTGAGAGTTAGGTCTAAAACCATTGAAAATGAATTCCCTTTAGGACTTAAGTTGATGAATTTCACTTCATTAAACTGCACACATATTCCATAATCTTAGCTAAGCTACGACACGTTCGTGATTAATTGCTTTTTTTCTTTTGTTATGCATTGTTTTAATTAGGCACAGAGGTGAAAATATGCGATTTTGACTAACATTTTTAATCGGCCTCGTACATGCTTATTTTTTCTCCACTTGGTATAAAAAGCATGTCATTCAATAGCTAAAAGCCTGATCTATCTGAATATGAAAACCAATTGTTCATACGCAGAGTAATTCACGTATAATAGCGCGCTGAAGTTCGATTACCTTTTTTTTCATACACCCTGTATATATATATATATATATATATATATATATATATATATATATATATATATATATATATATATATATATATATATATATATATATATATATATATATATATATATATATATATATATATATATATATATACCAACAATGAGACGATGGATGTGGGACACATGAATTATATATACGACAAGAACGCCATTCAACCTAATACGCATGATCTCTGCATGTCACAGATTTAAATCAACGCAAAGGCCTAAAGGCAATTGTGCCCCAAGCTCAATATATAATTCATGTGTCCCACATCCATCGTCTCATTGTTGGTTGTATAAATACTTTTCGGATGAAAAGCTCACTATCAGCTACACTGCGCTGACGAGCCCCAAAAGGGCGAAACAGCTGTCCGCAG